AGCAGACATTCAGCTGCTATCGTTGCCATTAATTTATCATATCCCTTGTTGGTATCATCCACTTAATCATGCATTATTATATTCCCGGAACACTCATTCTTTGGTTATGCGAGGTTGCCATGTACTATACGTATGTTAGGTCACACCGAACTCCGTCCGGCCTTGATTGGAGTTTGAAATGGACGTGTGTACGTGTACGTGCGGGTGAGTACTGAGTAGTGGACCTCTGTCTCTAGTCTGTACCATATACACCTCCCCTCTCGACCAAAGAGTGTTTTCTTATATACTAGCATCACTGGAGTCCCATCACATAAACTCTGGTTATCTCCAATCTTAAATTTAAATACACGAGTGATACGTTTACACTGCATAATTAAACAATCATGAGGTATTGCAGGCTGTTAGGGCAGTCCCAATTGTGTATTGATGATGGTTTCTATCTTTATTAAATGACTTGCCACGTAGGCGTAGGTAAAACACTGACATGGCAGCGTAATTAATGAAGAAAGAGAGCAAAAATCCTACAAATGGTTTCCTCGTGAAGAAATCAGGTCTTCTCTTGACCCAATGCACCAAGAAACCATGAAATCGTCATTGGAGAGAAACCACCAGTTTCTAGGGGCTCGTGCCGCACTCCCATTGGAGGAAGAAGATAGAGTTGGAAGAGAGAAAGAGAAAATAATTATTACTCATAGAAATCATGGATTGGAAAAGCAGTACTTTTTTTTGTGCCACTTGTGTGTACACGGAATACGATGGTATAGAAACCATGTTATATAAATTCTTAGTTTTTTTATTGGGACTGCCCTTAGTTCTTTATGAAACAGTAAAGCAAATCAGGACCATCTGTGCCACTTGTGTGTACATGGAATACGATGTACGGCCTACCGATGGACGGGGCGACGTAAGAACAGGAGATCGGATATGACGCGAAATCCGTCATGGACGCGTTGATCTCAATCATACTGGCCATGCATGACTCGTCAGTCATCACAGTGCTGCGTGGAAGTGGAAGATGCGGCCACTGTTCATCTCGTCAACGGCCCTGCACACACTGATGATCGTGATTCTGCAGCACCTGTGTTACCTGTTCAGCTGGTGTATGCAAAAGGCCGCGGAAAGTGAAGGATACATACGTCGAACAAACATATGAGAGAAGAGAGACACGGGCGACTGATGGCATCATGAGGTCGCGTTTGTCGATGGCTCGCCAATAAAACTTTTTGCCCACGGGATGAGCAGTTTGGTTCCCAGGCAAGCGTGCCCAACCGTGCTAGCAAGAGTAGTAAGCCTAATCTTGCCGGACTTGGCAGTTAGCACACGAGTACTGGATTAGCTCTCCTGTGATAGAAAGCAATTTCCCTGCTTGCCAGCATAATAAGCTCCGAGACATTGTCTTGTAAACCGCTATTCCTTCTCACCTCCTAGCCGAGCAAAGACTACATGGGAAGAAGCAAGAGAACCAATTAAACTACTAGTACTACTCTAGACCTGCCTTTCATCAGTTTCTGTAGTAGGTTAATCTGACTGAGATGCAACCAATTGCATCAGTGTCATGTCGACTAGGGAGTAATGCATGTCCTACAAAACCTGCTACGCAGAGCAAGCTGAGCGCACTATTCACATTCCTCTCCCGCCTGAAAATCTGGACCTCCCAATTGGCACTGTTCGTGGAAGGCATGGCCGCATGGGTAGCTACGCAGCTGTAGGGAAGAAAGGTATCTGCCCAACTTGACATCTAACCTAATCGCCTAATCGGATAATCTAATCGATCAACACCTCCAAAACCAAAAAAAAAAGAAGAACTGGGCCCCTTTATTTGCGTATAGTATTGCGCGCGTTCGTGCGCGAGCCAACACGTCGGCCAGGCCCAACCAAACAAAGTGCTCCAACTACAGGAGCGCGTGGTGCATTCGTGGGAAGTATTTTCAGCAGGACGCGGTGGGATTATTCCAGCAACCGCGTGTCCAAAGTAGTAATGATACTGACCCTGTCTCAAGAAAACTCCATGTCAACCTATCCTGCCCTGATACGTGTCTAAACATGGCACCGAAAATGGGTAAAATGGAGCGGTCTGTTTCGTCGAGCGTTGGGTGACACGAGCATCTCTTAAGGTTGCGAAACGGAGGATAATGTACGTCCTGCTTGTCGCTGTCTACCTGTCCAAGGATATATACATTGTCTTCTACCTATATTTACATTAAATTATTACTATATTTACAATGACTTATTCAGTGTAATTTAATAGACATAGTGGTGTAATTTGAGAATAATATAAATATATACCAATTTTTTTCAGAAAAATTTACAAATTATTTCTATGGATTTCAGATATAAGAGAAATATATATCAAATTGTCCATAAATATCATCAAATTGTTTATAAATTATTCACAAATTTCAGAAAAAAATACAAATATACATGTGGGCTGGGCGTACACGGTACATACTACGTGTATTCCGCTGGAGCTATACACGGGCGTAGACGCAGGCGTACATGGACCAACCACAGACGTACGTGCGTGTATTTTGGACGACCGGGACCTGGAACGCTGGAGCACGAGCATGTGGTGGGAACCGGCAGCCCGTCTCGCGCGACCAACTGACGGAGCACCGCGACCGTGCAATTCCTGATCTAGCGGTCACAAAATCGCATGTCGCAGGAGGCTAAATCAACCGGCTGACTTATAGCAATTCTGATTCCTAAAATCCGTGATAGTCAAACTTTTGTAGAAAAGAGCAACCATCATCTAATGACTCTGTCAAGAGAAAGTTGCAGAATCAGATCAGCAGGCAAGCTATTCGTTTGCCTAGACGGAACTCTGACTTCAGCTCGTAGAAGGCCATTGGCCAGTTCCAACTTCCGGTCCGCTTCTCGTCAGTGCCAAGCCAACCAGCTACTGCCAAGTGTTTACAGTAGTACGTATCGTCCTATTCGTTTGTCTTATAAACAGTATTTTTTTCAACCAACGAATAATATTTTTCTCTCACAACAAATCAACCAACAATATTTTTAGCCATGCCTTATCGGCCAAACAAATACGGCACAGTATAATACTGTACGAGTAGAGTTGCGCTTGCACCCCGCAGGCCATCGTTGATCGTTGTGTCTATCCATCTGGCTGCACATTGACCATTTCCCCTGGAGCAGAGGCAGCTTACGGCAGTAGCTAAAACAACGGGCCCCGCTCGACCTGCCGTTCTGCACGGCCGCACCCGTGAGTTCTCTCTTGTTCCGTTCCCAATGTCCGCGGCACACGTGAGCCTCGCCTCGCCTCGCCATGCCGCGCAGACAGGCGGTGCCTCATGGCTGGCAGGCAGGCAGCACGGAAGTCCGCGTCCCGGTCTCGCAGAGCCGATTCGGTCGTGTAGATGGCGACGGAGCGACCACACGGACTCGTGCCTTGAGCCATTGACTTGCTCCTCTTCACGCCGGTCCACAGCAGGAGCAGGGTGGGAAAGGAACGACGGGCGGCGGAGAGCGCTACAGGCGGCGCGGCGGCAAGCGTGGTGGCAGCTCAGCCCGCCCAACGGGCATCGTCCGGTAGAGACGGGGATGGCCGGATGGGGAGGGGAAGGAAAGTTTTCCGCTTCCTCTCCAAGGAAACGGGTGTGTGGGTTTTGGTGGTTCTGCCGGGCGGGCAACTCCATTCCGGCGGCACGCCGTCCAGCTCTCCCCCTACGTTTGACCGGTAAAGTTTGTCGTGGACCTGGCACGCAGGCAGGTGGTAACTCGCTGGAGGTTGGGCTTTAGGGGGGTTTGGGCCGTGGACCGTCCGTACACGAGCGGCAGCGGCAGTTTGGCTCCATCTCAGCTCATGTCCACGCTGCAAGTAGCACCCAGGTGGACCTCGTCCTGTAGACCATCAAATACTCGCCGTTTTACGATTTCTATACTCAACAAAGTAAGTACATACTCCTACTGTACTATACGTACACCGTATTACATGTTGTCGAGTACTACATGTACTGTACTCCGTATTTCTTTCTTTCTTGACGCTGCTGTGAATCGTGTGCAGACCCTGCTTATTAGCTGGAGGCCTGGAACGTGCCAGTGGAGTGGCTGTTGCAGTGGCACCTGAAGACCTGAGGAAACGGAGCGCGCAGCACTGCCACCCGCCTGCCTGCTGTCAAGTCCATTGCAGAAACCCAGAAATACTACTGCCACCCGCTCCTCGGCGTTGCAGCCGTGGACCGCCTCCACGCAGACGCAGAGACGCGCAAAAGCAACCTCCGTCCTCGATCGTGCTAATCCATCAGTCTAGAACGGCCATGGGGGAATCAACATGATAATTACTTCCCCGCTTTGGCTTTTCCGGGCCCCACCGCTTGGATTAATCACTCCTCGCCTGTTTTTTATATGCAACGTATTAATCCAGCACGAGCCCAGGTGACGACCACGGCGTGACGCCAACCAAGCTCCGTGGACCCGTTCCACCGCTGCCGCGTCGCCTCACGGATCTCGAGGCGCCAACGTACGCCCCGGAAAGGTCCGCTCGCCCTGCACCGGGTGCGGGGTGTCCAGGGCCAGCCCGTTCGGCTGCAGCCGCTCCATCGATTACGGCGCAGCACCACGACACGAACGACCACAGAGAAAGGAGACGACGACCACCCGCTCGCTAGCTCAGGCCTTTCTCTTCGCCTCCGCGGCCTTCTTCCGTCTTAAGTTTCCCCTTCGTCTATCTTCGCCTCTCTCTCCCTTCTCTCGCTCGCGCACCTTTCCGTGCCGCCTCCTTTCTTTCTTCGCGTGCTCTGGCGCGCGCAAGGATCAAAAGGCGCCGGCCACTAGAGGCGAGCGAGTGGCATGTAAACGACCGCGCTCGGTGTGATCTCAAAAGGGAGCGGGAGACAAAGGAGGCGGGTAGGTCGTGGCGGCAGCAATCGTTGCGAATCCGCGCGGGATTCTGTCCTCTGCAGCGCTGCTTCCCGCTTTCCTGCCCGGCGGAAGCGATATAATTCGCCAACCGGTTGACCGTGTTACCACTCGCTCTCGGTGGGGGCATGGACGAGGCGGAGGAGATGCAGGTGGAGAGGCTGCAAGAGGAGGCCGACGCGGGGGGCGCCGACACGGACAAGCTCAGCTACGAGATATTTTCCATCCTCGAGAGCAAGTTCCTGTTCGGCTACACCGACCCGCACCAGCTCTGGCTGCCCAAGCCGGCGGCGCCGCAGGCGTCCGCCGCGGCGCCGGGTAAGGCGGCGGCGCAGCGGGGGAAGGTCTGCGTGCTCTGCGTGGACGGCGGCGGGGGCGGCCTGCGGGCGCTGCTGGCCGGCCGCGCGCTGGCGCACCTGGAGTCCGCGCTCCACCGCGCGTCGGGGGACCCTGACGCCCGCGTCGCCGACTACTTCGACCTCGCCGCGGGCACCGGCGCGGGGGGCGTGTTCGCCGCGATGCTCTTCTCCACGCACTCGCGCGCCGCGCCGCTGTTCCACGCCGACGACACGTGGCGCCTCGTGGCGGACCACGCGCCGCGCATGTTCCACAGGCCCGCGAGCTCCTCGTCCACGTCCCTGTTCTGCCGCGGCAAGAAGCGGCCCCTGGCCACGCCCACGGCGGCGCTTGAGGCGGCCATGAAGTCTGCGTTCGGCGAGGAGCTCACCCTGCGGGACACCATCAAGCCCGTGCTCATCTCTTGCTACGACCTCAAGACGTCGGCGCCGCTGGTGTTCTCGCGCGCCGACGCCCTGGAGAACGAGAGCTACGACTTCCGCCTCTGCGAGGTCGGGCGCGCCGCGTGGTCCGAGGCCGGCCGCTTCGAGCCCGCCGAGGTGGCGTCGGTGGACGGCGCCACGTCCTGCGCCGCTGTAGACGGCGGGCCCACCATGGGCAGCCCGGCGGCCGCCGCCATCACGCACGTGCTCCACAACAAGCACGAGTTCCCGTTCGTGCGCGGGGTCGAGGACCTCCTCGTGCTCTCCATCGGCGGCTGCTCTGGCGGAGGCTCCGGTGCCGCTGGCGAGGCGGAACTCCGACCCATGCGTCGGTGGGGTCCTAAGGAGTGGGCGCGCCCCATCGCCCGTATTGCTGCCGACGGCGCCGCCGACCTGGTCGACCACGCCGTGGCGCGCGCCTTTGGGCAATGCCGCTCCTCCAACTACCTGCGCATCCAGGTGAGCAAATTCTTGCATTTCATTCCTGTTTCTTGTCTTATTATTACTGTGTACTATGTATCAAATCTGCTAAATAAACTGGGCGCGTGATCAGGCGAAACGGGAGAGCATGCCGCCGTGCGGTCCGGACGGGGAGTACGACCCGACCCCAGGGAACGTGCGCGCGCTACTCGCGGCGGCGGACGAGATGCTCAAGCAGCGGAACGTGGAATCGGTGCTGTTCGAGGGGAGGCGAGTCGGGGAGCAGACGAACGCGGAGAAGCTGGACTGGTTCGCGGCCGAGCTCGTCGCCGAGCACCGCAGCAGAGGGTCCCGGATCGCACCCACCGTTGCGTTCAAGCAGGCGCCGCAGAAGCCGTCGGCGCTGGACTGAGCTAGTGGCCGTAGACCGTGGCGTTAAGGACATGTAGGCCTCTCTTTCCTCTTGCTTGGGCTGGCGGCTGGAATCCTGCTGCATATTTTTGACGCGGCAGCATGGCATAGCAATATGGCATTGCTCCCGGAAAGCATTTGCTGCTGTGAAATCTTTTAAGGGAGGATGGAATATGAAAGGAACGTTCGCGATATATATAATTTGATCTTCCGTTCAGCTTAGGAGATAAATGTAGTTTTTCTTTACGCAGATTTTTGCTGACCTTGTTAATAGTATCCAATCTAGGTTCGTCATTTGGTGTTTGGACTTTAGTGTCGGTAGAGCTTTGCTGAAAAATGCTGGAGATACATTACAACGGAGACGGCTGAGCTTATGCCCTGCAATCACGCAGACAAAAATCAGTCTTCATTGTTTGGTTCTTTAGACGCTCCTAAAATTTATGTCACATTAAATGTTTAGAGTCTAATAAGGAGTATTAAATATAAATTAATTACAAAACTAATTATATAGATTGAGGCTAATTTCCGAGACGAATTTTTTAAACCTAATTAATCTATCATTAGCACATGTTTACTGTAGCATCACGTCAAATCATGGACTAATTAGGCTTAAAAGATTTGTCTCGTAAATTAGTCGCAAGTTGTGCAATTAGTTTCGTAATTAGTCTATATTTAATACTCCATGTATGTGTCAAACATTCGATGTGACAAGAATTTTAGGAGGAGAAGAAGGAACCAAACAGGCCCTTAAATTCAGGGGTAAAGTTTTAGGGTGTCATATTGGTTGTCACGTGAGGATGGCGTATGGATTTGTTTTGATACTAATAAAAAAATAAATTACAAAATCCATCGATAATCCACGAGACGAATTTATTAAGCTTAATTAATCTATTATTAGCACATGTATTATTATAGCACAACATTGTCAAATCATGGATTAATTAGGCTTAAAATATTCGTCTCACAAATTAGTTTCAAACTATACAATTAATTATTTTTTAATATATATTTATTACTCCATGTATGTGTTCTATGAAGTAAACTCGAGGGAAGAAACTAAATAAGGCCTTACCGAAGTTTTAAAACAGTAGGTGAACAGTGCGTGCGAATGATACCTTTTCTCCCTTGTCAGAATGCCACCATCCTTGATTCTTGATGTTCGAATATGTTTTGTACCTGTAGGGTTTTTTGGATTATTAACTGGTTTTTTGGATTATTAATTGAAATTTCTTACTACCTCGGCCCCAAAGATAATGTAATGGCTCTGTTTGCTTTGCTGAAAAAAAAAGTCAAAACACTGTTTCGGCTCATTTATTGTGAGAGAAAAAAACACGGTTATGACTTAAAAAAAATAAGTTGAAAAAAACAGATTATAAGAGAAGTGAACAGGACGAATATTAGGTTTGGACAAAGTCACACTTTATTAAGTTTGTTAAAAAATTATAGAAAATTGTATGGACATTTCTATTTCCAAATAGATGTATTGTAAAAATTTATTACATCATTAATGTATCATACTCATTCTGTATCTAAATATTAGTAATCTTTTGTATATATTCGAGCAAACTTGATATTGGTTTGAGGACCAGAATTACAAATTTACAATAATTAGCGAGGTTTTCAGTTAGTTATTGGGGCGCATCCCTTTGTTGCAAAACCACAATTCCCACGCTATTCCGTGCAAGATTACACCGGACATCCTAGACATCTTTTCAGGCTGAAGAAAAGAGCAAGAAACTGTAGGCGCTCAAGTGCTGTCACCATCTTGAAACTAGTCAGGATGTACCTCTGTCGAACGAAGCGCCAAAAGATTCCTCCACGCCACTAAATCAAGTAACCTTTGTTTTGACAGCATGTCATAAACACACACGGGAACAAGCATCTCAAACTTAAGCCCTCTTTGATAGCGAGAGAACTAGCAATAAGCTGCTGGGCTACAGTTGTCGCCACTCACCACCCCGCCGCTGTCTAGTCAGTCCACCGTGAAGCCTCTGCAACAGTTGGCAGCAGCAGCTCCCATTGCACAAACGGGCAAAGGGGCACGGGCGGTCGCTGTCGCCGGCCGGCCAGCCTCGTCACAGTCACAGTCACAGCACAGCACTTGCTAATGCCGCGACGACGGGGGAGAGGATCCGGTGGCGGTGGGCGCGCATCTGTGCCGTTGAGGGCTCGCTTTAACCATGTTGATTTTAATCCGCCTGATGAAGAAACTGGACGGGAGCGTCGTGTTTTCGTCTTCTGATGGGCGCTGTCAGGGAACAGGCGCCACTCCATGATTTGACGGTTGTTGGATTTGGAGCATCTAGCACTTCGCTGTCGGGGGCGATCACATCGCCTCGCCACCGAGATCAGGGCGCCCGTTTAGCTATCGCCTCGTTGGCTCGGCTCTTAAGCCTCGTTGGCTCGGCTCTTAAGCCATGGCTAAAAGTACTGTTGGTTAATTTGTTGTGAGAGAAAAATACTATTCGTTGGTTGAAAAAATACAGTTGTGAGAGAAAAATACTATTCGTTGATTGAAAAAATACGATTTATAAGCCAAACGAACCGGGCGTATGTCAACCGACAGACAGAGATCATTAGCGGCAGCGGCACCGGTGGGTGGGCGGGTGGGGGGAGGGAGTAATCATCAGTAGCGTGAAGAACATACGGACGTGGTTTACACTTTCAGTCAGGGGTTTTCGACGTCCATCATGGTTAGATGTGCCAACCAGACCAGGATGGGCGTTAGGTTACGTTTCTCTTCTGTCTCCGGTCACAGCTACTACTCGCACGGATCACTGTGCGATCTGGAGGTAACGCTAACGCACGCTCCCCGCTCGCCTGGGCAACCGGTTTCTGCCGTGGCATACGTTCGTTTCTTTGGGAACGGGCCGTTCCGGCGGTCGTTTCGGGTGGAAAGGAGCCGTACGTATTGAAAACTGGTGTATAACTGGCCAGGAACGAAACCGGCTGCTGCCGAACGGGCCCTAAATTGAGTCATGCCAGGATGATGTTTCCCGGACCGGATCGTGCTCCCCGTACAGCTGCTACTGCTGCGTAAGCGCTCCCGGCAACGCGTGAAGTTATGGGGTGGGGGGGCGCACGGAGTTTGGTGCACCGCCTTTGTTCGGAGGCGCGCGGCGCGCGGCGTGCGCTAGCTCCGTCTTGGTTGGGAGGCCGGCACGGAGGCGCAGGCGCACGGCGCGCGTCGCATCTGGTCCGTGCCGTGCCCCCGTGCCGGACGACCCCTCCCTTCCCTCCCTGTCGTCGTCTCGTCGGCGGCTGGAGTGCTCGATTGTTTGACCGTCTCGTCTCGGGTCCATGACGCCGAGCGCGGCAGGAATGATTACTGGGCACGACGCGTTGGTTTAGCTCGGAGACCGCGCGGTGGTTGGTTAGGACGTACGGTGCCCTCTTCCGCCGGTCGTCTCTCTGCCTTAAATGGAGTTGCTCTCCGGCCAGTGGAGGGTGTTCGTACAGCTCTGCCGCTCGGATGATGAACGGGTCCTGGCCAAAACGAGCTTGGGAGCCACCGTTGTTTTGCTTCTCGACAACGCCTATGACTTGCAACGGTAAATTAAGGAAGTGAGGCCGTTTTTGCGTAATTCGTGACACGATAGTCCCCCTCCATTCATTCATTTCTATCTGGTGCTTTAACCTCCATGAAACCAGCCTTCTCAGGCTAGACAATCAATACGTACGTGTAAACTTATCGTGATTCGGGTTTATTAAAATTATATCAACGGGCACGTCGTTGTTTTGCTTTCACGATATTATATTAATTGAGGTGGTGTTTGATAGCTAGTCGAAGCACTAAAGTTTAGCATCTAAAATTTAGTTCTGCTGGGCTGTTTGGATCTATGGGTTAAACTTTAGTCCGTTAATCTATAATGACTGATTTACCCTTATTTAATTATCCATGCACAGCCATGCATGCGAGCAGCAAGGGGTATGAGGCGTCCATCGTCCGTCCCAAGGGAGTTTAGCCCAATTTAGGGCCTCTTTAGGAGCGAAAGATTTTAGCTCAGTTTTTAACCATTTGTTCAGTTTTAGCCCCTCTGTCTGGATTCCATGGCAAAAAAAAAAAGAGAGGCTAAAAGTGCAGGACTAAAGTTTTGCTATGAGATCAGGACTTTAGTTGTGGGCAATGCCTTGTCCCGAATGAAACACAAACACACACACAGAACCGATAGCATCAGAAAAAGAAAGGACAAAGGAGACAACAACCATTGACCTAATCGTCCGTCTTAATCTCGTTGAGACCCGGGTTACAAAGACAATAATCCTATGCTTTCAGTACTAGGAGTCCGTAGCAGTTTCATCACTCTGTCGCTCAACATCTCGAGGCATAATACAAGTTGACAAGTTGTAACGGCACAGAGTAGGAGTGGAGAAGCCAAGGGAAAAAGGCCAGGCAGTCGAGGCCAGCGCCTGTCCTCTGTGCCGGAGGATGTGAAATTTGGTAGGGTCACCCTTGCTGTAATAGTACAGTACTTCCTCCACAAATGTGCAGATGCATTATGCATATATAGAGGTGAGAGGAACGGTCCCAAATTCTTTGACCTCGAGTTGCCAGCACTCTGAAATGTTGGTTCGTGTTGTCAAGTCATCAAAATGTGCATACTAGCATTTTTTTTTGAACAAAGCGTCAAAATGTGCAGAATTTATATTACAGTTTACTGTACACGCAGCTAGTATATGGTCGAAATACCAGTTTTTGTGAATGAGTATATACTACTGTATAGGAAGCATAAAGAAAATGCTGCAAACTTACTAGGTACCATAATTTTACAAAATAGATTCTTGTCGTTGCTCTAATTGTCTCACGATAACACTATAAAGAATAATCACACACAGTATTATTAGTCTCATTTTTCAAGAATTTTCTGAAGGAATTTTTCCAGAAATGGAAATGATGCTCAAAAGTTTTGGTGCTAAATTTGAGGAAGCGAGCGCCGTCCATTACGGACACTGGACAGATAAAAGAGGGGCCGAAGGTGAAGCAGCCTTTTGTGCCCTTTG